ATAGGAGTAACGTAAAATTTATAGAATTAAAGGTTCAAAAGAGGAGTAAATGAATATAAGTGTCAAAGTAGGTTTAAATAAGCATATTGGTCGGTTAAATAGGTTCAAAGTATCTTCAAAAGTTTGAAAGTAGCATCAAAATTTCGACTCGGGAACCCCCCCGCGAGAGACTATTTAAAGGGCGATTCGAATCTCGACCGCGCCACCGGCCTCGATTCATTTATCGCTCCTTCGTGCTCGTTTCCGCGCTCGGAAATCCTGAGGCTTTCGGATTAGGTCAATTTGACGTTCATCCGAGATTTCTTCGTTTCTCTTCGACAACCTCAGCGACGTAACTCGGCAAATTAATGGCGAAGCAGTTTAAAGGAAAACGTACGAACGCAAGAACAGACGTCCACTCGTTAGATGTAACGGGAATTATTACACATGCGCCGGAATAATCGACGTTCACGTGTGCAAAAGTGTTTCGTCACAAAACACAATGAGAGACACGGCGGCGGGAAATATCTGAAAAATGTGTGCAAGATGGTATCTCTAAATAACAGAAGAATGGCACAAAAATGTGTGTGTCGAAAACAAATAAATTACCTTCTAATTGAGAGAGAAAGAGAGAGAAAAAGAGAGAGAGAGAGAGAGAAGTCGTAATATAAAAGTAGAGAACAATGTAAAACTAAATGTGGTGCAACATATACGCGAAATATGCGCGAACGAAAAATAGAACACGAATGCGGGAGTTTCTGTTTCACTTTTCTCACGATTTCTCGCGGTTCGTCGAATCGCTTTAGGGTAAAACCGCGTAATTCGATGACTGATACCGATTGCCGCTCGCCGCAAAATGCAACGTTTCCCAAATTAATGCAACTGTTGAATAACGAACAATCGACACACGATCCCAACACGGCTGCTAATTTTGTTTGCGTAAAACTGCTAATGACGAGCTTCCCATTCAACAGGTCCGACCGCGTCGCGCGGAACAAAACTGGCCTCTAGAAGCACGTTTTAGAGGCGCCACGTGTAGCACGTGCGCGTCTTCTCTCTCTCTCTTTCTTTCGCGCTTCCCAACGCGAATTGCTATTTAAACAGCTATTCAAACGCGAGTTACAGTTTACAACTCGTGTGTGCGTTTGTTCGAATAGATGTTCGCGCCGCGCGCGAGACACGTCTCTTCCAAAAATAGTGTGTCGTTTGGTATACGACCGCGCGTCGTCGACGCGCGGGTGACCCTTTTATTTACGGGCGTACGTCGAGAGAGTTATTTCTTTTGTCGGCGCTATAAACGAAATTATTGTGTGATTCAACGGCGCGTGCACGTCGGTTACATTTTTCCCAGGCTCTCTTATATTTTATTTTATATCGATTTGATATTCAGAATAAGACGTTCGAGCGCGGACACGCTGCAATTACTGTAGAATGGCAGGGTGGAGCAGAAGGCGGTTTTCAGAAGGGGAGAGCCGCGCTCCACCGCCGCTGATATTGAAATATTTATATACGCCTTACGCAAGCTATTCGCTTTCTTCTTGCGTCTCTCTCTCTCTCTCTCTCTCTCTCTCTCTTTCTCTCTTTTTCTCTTCCTCTGTTGATGTATAACTTTTTTACCGTGACTCCTCACCCCGATGCGATGCAAACATAGAATTACATCTGTCATCACTCATAATTTCCCACTTTTACCGTATCTTTAACGCTGAAAAATGCAGAATCGATTCTTCTGCAATTAACCCAACTCCGGATGAAAAAAAAAAAAAAAAACAAGTTTATTTTACAAGTTTTTTTTTCATGTTTTATAAATCGAGAACACTTGAAAAAAAAAAGAATTATTTTTACCTCCCTCATTTATTTAAAAATGTGTTGCGCCATCTTTCCTACATTAGAATGCGGAATAATATATAATTAAGTGCTGGCGGCTATTTTCGTGTGAGTCCCGGCGCCGCGTTGCCGCAATTAATGCGCTAAAACACATTGTCAACGCGCGGACAAGGGCGTTGCGCGCGCGTAACCTTTGTAACGGACATTCATTTTGTAGCGCATCTACATTTCTTATGACTTCATATTTAATTCAGGTGTTGGTAGACTTCCGGGAAGTATTACAAGGAGACTTCTCCCCGGATGGAGGAGTACGCGCGCCAAGTACGGTAAGGTACGTGTGCAGTACGTCAGCGAGAATATATAAATATAAATGTTTGCGTTGTGAGCGGAGTATTACTCCTGCGATCAAGAGCTGCTCGGTGCTCGTTCGTCCCGTTTCGAGTTGCAAGAGTGGCTTCGCCACTTTTCTTCGCGCATTTTTGAGAGATTCGACACGGCGCGGCGCGATATGAAAACCGCGTTTACCGCCCGTGACAACGCGCTCGCCCTGAGGGGACAAGTTATGCGAAGATGAGGAAGAGAAGAAAGAAGAGAAAGAGGAGGACGAGGAGGAGAAGGAGGAGGAGGAGGAGGAGGAGGAGGATTAATTTAGATTTAATTTTAATCAAGCACCCGCGACCCCAATTTGTTTCCCTTTGAGGCAACATTTTTGTCGCACACACGCAAAGAATCGTGCGCGCGCGCAAACTTTCCGCGAGAGATGCGCCGCCCGTCTCTCTTTCCGCGCGAGACGATGGCTCTGTCAATGTTGCGAGTTTACGTTTTTCCCGTGGGAAATCTGCTCACGGATGCGACGCGATCCAATACATTTTCTTTACACACTTTACTCTACTCGTAATTACGAAATAAGCAAACATCCCGGATTATGAGAGAGACTCTTCGCGTCGGACCCAGCTGATGCAATTTCGCGCGCGCTCTTTACTCTTGCGTACGTTCGATCATTCTTAATTGTGTCACGAGCGACACGATTTTTAATTTTAACGATGGTTCATGTTTTCGAGCACGAAGCCGTGAGTGTGTGTGTGTGTGTGTGTGTAAGTGGAATAATTTTGATAAAATACAAGAGAGCGACATTAAAATTATAAGAAAAGTAATATGATTAGATGACAAATATCGTTGTGTTGCGTACCTGTACTTTGAGAATTTAAAATTTTTGTTTTTTAAATTTTCAGATATTGCAAACTTCCAATCAAGATGAGATAGCGCAAGAAAAGGTGGCTACCGTCTGGTCTCTCGTCAACGCCGTAGACATGGGTTTGGTATCTAAAGAATGTTCGCTGAAGGATATTACCATCACGAGTTCCTGGGACGAGGATTCTGTTCAGAAGGAGATCGAGTCGACAGATGCCGAACCTGCCGAGTCTCAATCTTTCGAGACGAACGTGGACAAGGATCAATTGATATCAGACCATTTGAATATGACGTGGCCATTTGTTAAACGCGAGCGAATTACTTTAAAAGTGAAGCGTGTGCGAAAACGAGGTAAAAAGAAAAAGAAGTGGATAATCAAGCAGCAGAGAAAACCAAAGCGTTCGGTTTGCAAGACTGTTGATGCTGAAGAAGAAGAAGAAGAAGAAGAAGAAGGAGAAGAAGAAGAAGAAGAAGAAGAAGAAGATGCGATAAAAGATTCCCGGAAGGTCGGGAGAGTGCCACCGTTACCGATCGCGTCGACGGACAACGTAAATGCATCGCCGAGATTATCGTGGAATAACTTTTCGTTGACCTCGCAAACGCAACTTCACGTCCGGTCGCCGGAGCGCGATGAGCGCAAGAATCGCGAGCGTTCGTCCAAAAGTTCGCCCAAATCGACCGATGCGGAAGACGAGAAGAATCAGCGAACAACGTCCAGGATGAAATCGAACGAGATCCCTCGAATAGATTATTCGCAACTCGGATACGCCAAATATTTCACGTCGGCCGGTCGTCGTCAAGTTGCAACAAACCAACGAACGCGGCAAAGTCGAACGAAGCGGTCCAAGTATCGCCGTAACATCAAGAACGTCGATAATAACGGTCATCTTCGAAATTACGAGCATCGCGCTTCGAAAGACACGACGTCGGGTCAAAACAACATTTCCACGAACGACGAACGAACCGCGAAATTCGCGACAACCTCGAAACGCCCGACGCGCAAAGTCAGTACGCGTTTGTCGTGGCGTTACAGAGACATGTACAGTTCTAGTGCGACCGAGAATTCGCGAAGGACAAAATCCGCGTCGACCGTTCTCGAAAAGAATAAAAGAACCGGAAAAAGAAGAGGGAGAAGAAAAAAAGAATCGGAGATCGAGGATACATCCGCAAATGACAATTATAATTCTCATCGAAGATCCCGTAATTTGAGAAAATCTTCTAGAGATACGAGAGGTAACGACGTTATCGGTGATGCATGTGACGACGCTACAAAAGCAATTGTACAAAAGGATAGCGATTTTAACGCGGAAAACGAGTGTTCGAAGGATAATAGCACGGCTCAGAGAAGAAAGTTTAAATTTCTTTGGAACAAAATAGCCCGCTCGATCTTGCGGGATATTTACGCGAATATCAATAAGGACGAAGTGTTGAAAGCGATTATGAAAGACTTCGACGACGACGATAAAGAACCCTCGGAGGAGTCGTCCTCGCAGACGACGGCTGAAAATCAGGACAACAATCTGCAGGAGAACCTAGACGAAAATTTTATTCTGTACGCTCCCACGTTGTTCGATTGGGAAAGTAACAACGACCTTGATAAAGCGAACTCGTCAATTCAGGATTCGAAACAATCGTCCGAGCCGTCCGCTGTCGAGGCCAAGAACGACTTGCCGACTGCAAAAGACGCGTCTCATAAAAAAAAATTAAACGGGTCGTCGATTGATTGCAAAGTCGCCGGTAAAACGACCACGGCTTATCAGCACGTATTCGACGAATATAGCGATTTCGACTCGCCGAGATCGTCTCTGAAAATAAGTGTCGACGAGAACTGTAGACAGAACGACAACGACGATAACGCCGACGACGGTATTCCCTCTTGGCGTCGATCATCTATAGCCGAGATCTGTGATAACGAGTCTGACAGTAGTGCGCTAATATTAGCCCGAAAAATTATCGATAGCTCTTTGTCGGAAGACGAAAATTCTAACAACGATGAGGACAAAGATGACGAAATAACAAATTCTACCACGGACAGGAGCGAGGATACCGATTCCTCGTTTTCCGATAAATTTTCAGACACGGACGGGGAAAAATGGAGTTCCGTCATCAAACGTAGACAGAGAAGGAGTAGAAGATCGACGGTAACGCGAAGTGCTACAAAGGATGATAGAAGCGGTGCCAAGGTGAGAGCGGGTACTATAACATTCGATTGCGAATCTCAGTCAGAGGTTCAACTACGTGAACGTTTCGCTGCGATAAATAAATAACGCACGTAATAATAATTCAGGTTCAAAGTAGTATTAGAAGAAGAAGAAGTAGGAAAGATCACGATGGGGAAGCAAATTCAACAAGAGGCAAGAAAGATGACAGCGAATTGAGTTCAAAGCAGGTAGTCGAAAAAGATAACGATTCGGGGGAAGACAGTGATAAAAGAGTATATTCTCTGCGAAGAGTAACGAGAACTGTAACGAAGACGGCAGTTCCAAAGAAACAATATCCTGTTGGTAGACTAGTGTGGGGTTCCTGTCAAGGATGGTGGCCAGGTATATGTAGGATAATCGTTGTTTGTTGTGCAGTTGATTGCGCATTAACGTGCTTGCATGTGCCGTCGCGGTTATGAAAAATTCAATTCTCACTTGCGCGTTGAAATGTCATCTCTCTAAAGTCGAAACATATTTGACTTTATCTCCGCAGCTCTGATTATAGACGCCGGACATGTCGGAATGCACACTTCTCCCGGCAAGTTTTGGGTATTTTGGATCGGAGAATCCCAAATATCATCGGTAATTAATTTAAAACAAAACAAAAATGTTCTCTCCATGCGTTTGAATTTCTTCTCGAATTATAAACAGACGCAACATGTGTGTAAAAAAAAAACAAAAACTGTACCCTGCGTGATTTCAGCTTAACGAGAAAACTCAGATACAACCGTTTTCGTGCAAATTGGAGCAGCGATTGACGCAACAGTTTCGTAAAGATAAAGAACGGTCACGTGCCATTGACGCGACTATACAGGTTTTTTTGATTAAAACACAAAAATGTCCTCAAAAATATTCAGACAAAAATAAGATTATAACGAAAATAAGAATTAACATATGTATAGAAAACTGAAACAACAACAACAACAAAAAAACACTACGTTGTGTCATTACAAATTAACTTTTAGATGCTCCGCCAACATTTTGAATCGCCTCTGACAAAGCCTTATTATGATTGGATATTACGGAACGTATCCAGACTGGAGAGATGTAAGTCACGAGGATCTGTGTTAAATTATTTAAAAAAAAAAAAACTGATATTTGACCGAGTGAGCGTGTTGTTCGTTACGAATAACTTGAAAAATTATTTGGTGCGACAGTGGATGACTTGACGTTTTACCCGTATCCGAAGTATGTGCAAGAGAAACTGGATATCTTGAAGGAAAAGAACGCCAAAACTACTCAGAAATACGTATCAAAACAGACAAGTATGTCTCTTCTATTTTTTATTTGAATGTTCGCGCAATACCCTAGTATCGCACGCTTCTCCGTAGGTTCTACGGAGTCATCACCGCCGAGAAAGAAAACAAATACCGAAAAACAGAAAGAAATGAAAGATGAAAAACCAGGCTGGAAAGAAATTGAGGCGGAGCGTTTGCCTTTACAATACCAAAATCCCGGAGTAATAGCCTGGGCGAAAATCGCCGGACATAGTTGGTGGCCTGGTACGTTTTCAATGCGCTTGTTGTTTTTTTCTTTATTTGTATTTCTTTTCCGTTGATAAAAAAATGTGTCGATTTCAGTTGCTTTTAAGCAAAAGACTCACGAAGAATTCCTGTTTCTTTTTTTTTTTTGCAGCAATGATTATCGATTACCGCGATTGCAGTTTGAAAGAACCCAGTTTTGGTTGTCAATGGATTATGTGGTATGGCGATTACAAAATTTCGGAGGTGATAAGTTTTGTTCTGTAATAACACTCGAATTTGAAAAAAAAAAAAAAAACACTTTTTTCATACAATTACATAATTCTTTTCTTTCGTTTCTTTTTTTTTGTGCAACGTTAAGCGCGATTTTCATATTTTATATTCTTTAAGGTACGTCACCTTGAGTTTTTGAAGTTTCACAAGGGATTGGAAAAGATGACCAACCACATTAAAACTACGGTTAAACCATCTTACCGGGAGGGTGTGCTTCAAGCAGCAAAGGTAGCGGATGCTATATCTTATTTGTGAAATTATTTACATCTCACATCTTCCGCGCGCGCTCGCGCGAGAGGACAAATAATTTCACAAATAATTCTTCATTCGATATCGCGTGACGTATATTTATATGATTGTATTGTATTTATATTGAATGTATGAATTTTCTGTTGAAAAAAAAATATCCACAAATCTCTTCCACTTGAATCTGACTTTTTAGGATTATTGCTCGCGTTTAGGATGCAACACGGATAACTGGACTTTAGATAATGTCTTTGAATATTTTTCCAATGAGAATATTCGCGTACCATGTAACGAATTACAAGTTTCAGACTCTAAGAAGGTGTATGATAAGTATTCCGATGTCATAGTAAAACAAATCAACGAACTTAAGTCCAAGCCAGACATAGATGACGATCGGAAGAATGAGATAAAAACGAGCGGTGAGTTTATTAGTCCCGTAATCTTTCCCGTGCAGATCTTTAATAAAACAATCTAATTTGTGATTTCTCTCGATTTTATTAGATGCCTGGCGTCGTGTGGCAGCGGGAGAAGTTGCTATAGAAAAAATATGTCTAAGATGTTTGAAGTTTTTTAAAAGTAAAATGGACGAGCATCCTTTTTTTGTAGGATCTCTATGTAGAGAATGTTCGGTACGAGATAAAAATCGCGCGTGTTCTAAAATTACGCTCGTTGAACTAGCATCTTTTTTTTTGTATCGATAATTAAGAGTTAGGTGATCAAAATTACTAGCAATGACGCTTATTTTGTGTTTTAGGACGAATTTAAACCGTGCATGTTCATAGTGGGCAACGATGGCAAGTGCGTAAGTACTCAATTGTTCAACTATTTCGTCAGTAATTGAAGATCACAATGATTCACATGACACTTCGTTACACGTGTGATTTCAGTTCTATTGTACAATTTGCGCCTCCACTGGTACTGTCATTATGTGTGATAGAGAAGAATGTCCACGGTTAGTACGCGTGAAGTAAGATTGCATCAGATGAAATGTATTTAATTGATGCGTTTTTAAATTTCCACAGCGTCTATTGCACAGCTTGTTTAAAATATTTGTTGTGTCCAAAAACATACGACAAAATGTTATTGGAGGATCCGTGGCACTGTTTTCTGTGCACTGAAAAATCCGAACACTTGGCAAAAGGAGTATTGCGTCCGCGATTGGACTGGAAAACGAAATTCATCGGAATGTTCCGTACCGCGTCTGCGACTAATTCTGACGTGGACATTCCAGATTCTCCGGAAAAGAGACCCATACGTGTGCTGTCGCTCTTCGACGGCTTGAGTACTGGTGAGATGAATTCCACGTTTATCTTCATTTGTTTTCCTTCAAAAGTATGCTATTTTATTAACGTGAAAACGTAAGCATCTACACACACCTTGTCTACTTTCGTATGTTATAATTATTAGGTCTGCTGGTGCTGTTGAAATTGGGGCTCGAGGTGGAGGCTTATTACGCAAGCGAAATTGACAACGACGCCTTGATGGTCAGTTCTTCTCACTTCGGCGACCGTATCACTTATCTGGGAGATGTAAGAGGCATAACGAGAGAGAAAATTCAGGAGATCGCACCGATCGACTTGCTGATCGGTGGTTCGCCATGCAATGATTTGAGTTTAGTCAATCCGGCGCGATTAGGTCTCCACAGTAAGTAACGACAATTAATTAATTCTCGTCTCAAACATATTGCTCAGTAATTTTATGCACAAATAATGTTTTTGTCAATTTAATTTTATAGATCCAAAGGGAACAGGTGTTCTATTTTTTGAATATAAGCGAATTAGAAAATTGATAAAAAAGTATAATAAAGATCGCCACATGTTCTGGCTGTTTGAGAACGTCGCCTCTATGCCAACTCAATTTAGATTGGAAATTAATAGGTGAGTTGAAGTTCTTGTTCACAATAGAATTGCGAGTAATTCTGACAACGACAATTTTATAATCGCGCGGAATCACTTTGTTTACTTGCAGACATTTAGGACAAGAACCCGATGTCATAGACTCAGCTGACTTCTCGCCTCAACACAGAATAAGACTATACTGGCACAATCTTCCTTTTAATCCTTACATGCCATTGTTTCACAGACAGCAAAATGTGCAAGATGTGCTCACAAAAAACTGTCATCGTCACGCTCTGGTGAAGAAACTCCGCACTGTTACAACCAGATCAAATTCTTTGAAACAAGGTATGTTCTATAGAAGGGTTTTTTTTTTTTTGTTAATAAGTTCCGATGAAAAACTTCTGTCGAGAAGAGATTGGCAAGAGTTTTTCTTTCTGTTTGTTTTAGGAAAAGGAGAGTGGAAACCTATTATAATGAACGGTCAATCTGACTCGATATGGATCACTGAACTCGAAGAAATTTTCGGTTTTCCTCGACATTATACGGATGTGAAAAATTTATCGGCCACAAGTCGACAGAAATTGATCGGCAAATCTTGGAGCGTGCAAACACTTATTGCCATATTGCGACCTTTGTGTTCCTACTTCAAGTGCAATGAAACTGAGATGAGCTTATCCACCGAGAAAGAAGATACCTTAACTTCTTAAAATAGTTTTACATGTATAAAACAACGGTAAACGTACCGTGTTTTAGCAAAAATTGTAAATCTACAAAATCTATTTTCAAAAATATGATTAATCTGATATTTTTCAATATCAAGTTTTCACGAACAAAAATTTGTAAACTTTTTGTCAATTGGACATGTGTTTTGCACAAATTTATACATACTGTATATGTGTATAAGTATACATACTATATATGTAAGTGTATATATAGTATATATAATTATATGTATATATAAAATTACACACATAAAAGAAGTTATTACAAAAAGTAACATTATATATATATATAAAAATTGAAATACAATATACTATTGTGATCTCTATATAATCATAAAACAAATAAGAAAGAAATATTTACTTTTTGCAATAAGCTTCTTTTCCATTTCTTTCCATTTGTAATTAAAATATTATACAGAGTGTCTGAAAAATGTTGACCAAACCGAGACGTGAAGGTAGATTGAGTCAATCTGAACAGAAAGTCATTTGCCACTTTGCAAAATTTGCAATTATTTAACAAATGTGAGCGCGTGGGAAGCAAAAATTCGGACTCTGTATGATTTTTAGTTGTAAAAAAATGGCTTCACATGCAATCTCCTAATAAACAAGCAAGCGACGTGTGACTCGACTTCTTGTGATTAGCTGATTGTCACAACCGAAAATTATACACACCTAAAGGGTCCGGACCATCGCATTAGGTATTTATTAGGTATGTATTAATTATTTACACGTATTAATCAATAACATATTAATTAATACCTCGATAACTTGCAAACAAATAGAACATGATTTTTCGGTTTAGATTAATTCAATCTAACTTCATACTTTGACTTGATCAAAAGTTTTCAGACACCTTGTATAAATAACATCATAAAAACACTTTGTAATAATATCGTTCGAAGAAATCCATCTTTAAAAAGAGAGAGAAACTTATGAATGTTTTTTTATCTATTGAATTGTAAAAATAACATCACGTGAGACAATAACAATAATGAGACTAAACTTAGAAGCAGTAATTTAATTTTGTCCAAAAGGCAAAATTTAATGCGTTTCGGTTTTGTGTGATAAAACTCTCATTTAGATCTCTAAACGTTTTATTAGATCAAATGTTTTTTATTACGAATTCTTGTCATATTTGTTTCATCTTAAAATATAGCGATATACGAGTTATTTTCTTATAGATATAGAAAACAATATAAAAGTTTTATTTCCTTATAGGTATACATAAACATATCTCTCTTTCTTAAGTGTCAATGATGTATACATAATAAATTTGTACATTTCTATGTTATATCACTTGTTACTGACCTCTTTTGCAACAAATATCATACTGAATTAACAGCAAGTTCTTGAGGTAGTTCGGTGAAGACATCTAACATAATAAGTCCAACTATATAAAATGTGTTATATCCCTCGAATATATATAGTACGTATTTAGACACGGAAAATAAGAAAAATTGATTTCCCAAATCATTGTGTGTCTGTGTAATGTTGTGCACAATTGTATGGTATGTATATACCCAGCAAACAATTTCTGTTTTTGACAATTTCGGCTCAGACCGTGGCAACAGAAATTGTTTGCAGAAATGCTACAATACGGAAACACTGCCAAAACTGTTAGCACACAAAAAGAAAAAACGCAACAACTTTGTTGGCAATATACATGAGAGTATTGCGGTCAAAACGATTCCATGTATGTCAGTGAAATTGACAACAAATAGATGGTCGATTGCAAGCAGATC